GTGTGGTAAGAAAAGATAAATCCGTGTGAAATATTCCTGAACCATAAATGACACATGTAGCGACAGCCAAAATTCACAAAGGAGTTAAATAAATGTAAACCTCCAGAGGAGAATAGAAACTAAGCGGTGTTCTTTCCACCCCGATTAAAACTTGAAGAGAGACACTAAATATTATCAAGGGCCCGTTTCGCGAACGTACCGGCCATCTGACGAACCTGAAGTCATTATTTCAAAATCTTATGAAAAATCCAAGCAACAGAAAAGCGGGCGTGACTAAAACATACCTTCCCTTCTGTTTCATTTTCGTACATCTTGTAATGCATCAATTTCATTCATTTAACGTCTCGCTCCTAAATGCAAACACGGCAGAGTAAAAGCAGCTTTGTTTTTCGTAGGTACCATTTGACTTTTAAAATACTTCTCCAGATAATTTCAATAGCCGTCAGGCACCAATTTCGCGTTAATTATAGAATCTTAACAATTATGATAAAAAGTGTCAAAGTGAAATGCTAATTAACAATTCCTTACTTTTTTTTCTTAGAGTTTGACGATAACTGATAGTGTGGTGAAGACTTACAGAAACTATGTCATCCTGTACACACTGAAAGATGTCCTCACTGACGTGTTGAATTGTATCTAAGATTATCTATCACCGAACGAATTGCTCTCTGGTAGAGCAAAATATTTATTAATGACATGTACTTCATCATTGGAATACTGAGAGACTTCAGTTTTTTAAATGTTTAGGTATTTAAAGTTATTCCGCACTACACAAAAACTCTAAAGTACTGTAGAAGAACATCAGTTTGATTACACAAGAGCACTGCTCATCAAAACGCTATTTATTTCTTCTTGGGCAACAGTTTAGGGATTCAACCTTGTTGCCTTAAATCAATGTTTTAAGTTTTCATAATTGTATAAAAATTCTTAAAAAGGAAACCAGACCTCAGTCTGAGGAATGATTCGAAAAATATGTTAGTTTCACGGAGTCGAGTAGTCAGTAACATTTTTCTATTATCCTTGTCTTTCTAAGCTCCTAGTTCAAGAATCGACTGCATGCTTTGTAATTATAGAAAGAAACATTTTAAAGAGTCCATATTGAGACTATCATCCACTGTGTTACTGATGATAATCAGTGTTTATGTTGATTTTTCTAAGATTTATGATCAGCGAACAAAATGTAACTTCAGGCGTTCTGTTGTTAAATTAACAATGATACGTTAAAAATGGAAATCGAAAGCAAGGTCTATTTTCTATATACACATTTAATAAATATCGGTCTATATATGATTAAATGTAGGAAAAAAGAAATTTGTGTATTCACCTACTATGAACCCAGCTTTAAGAAACTCCCGCTTGACTGGAAGTTTGACCCTAAATGCTATTCAACACTACATAGCAGCACGTGCATTTTGTGTCACTTCTCCGAGGTTGGGGAACACATACGAACTCACGACGAATCAACGAAGATTTTATTGAAGCGTTAGTCAAATTATGATTGTCGATGCGCTCTGTTTGTTTATTGTATATCTCGGATGAAAACTGAGCTCTCAGTTTTCTCACACTGTATTTGCTAAATATGGTCCTGTGCTCATGTAGCACCGTTACATGTATATCAAGAGCAAAGACTGAAATTTTTTAAATCCTCCGCGAAGTGCAAAGTGGATTTTAGATCACCAACAAAGACAGTGAAAATTCAAAGGCTAAACTGTTCACCACTCACTGACTGAGTGGCTGAATTGGGAAATACTATTATTTCCATGCCGCCTTCATTATCTGTTAACCACTCCACTTCCTGCGATAAATGTTGCTTTCATCCATCTCATCTTTCTCCACCTTCGGTCCTCACGGAATTTATTTCCCCTCGTATTTCATTTAATTTACTTATCCACACATTTATTTGCCTGGGTTATTTCTGTGGTGTGATGCTCACGATAAAGTGAAGTTCTATCTTTAAAATCGGAGAAAATAGGAAACAGGACTAATTGACGTCCTATATAACAGAAGTAGGTTTTCTTTACTCCGCAACAAAATTTAAAAAAGGCCAAATGAAAGCGTAAGGACTGTAACCATGTTATTATAATTCTGAACTATGGCTGGAACGCGAGGGAATTTAGTCTAAAACGCTGACTCTTAAACTGGCTCATAGAGTCAATTTGATTGAATGTCTTCGTTTAAACTCGAACCTCAAATCTACTTTACAGCCCTTTTCTTGGCTATTTCATGATAAGAGATATAAAGTGTTTGGTGTCACATTCTTCTTTTAGCGAAAGTCTAGGTAATAACGGAACTTTACCGCCCATGAAGTACTAATGGCCACTTTACGTAAACCGGAAACCATCACGTTTACCGGTAAGGTTGAAAAAGGTTTGTTACTGCGTCGAATGCGGAAAACAAAGATTAGAACATAATTTTCCTGGATATGTTTTAATGGATTGATTCTCTAATCCTACAAGTAACGCTTGACATTCAGACACAAGAAAGGGATGTCTTGTCTGCTAAAGTTGGCTCCGTATTGAAAAATCAAGTTAAAACGACTATTTGATCTTTAATATTTTCTAGTACTCGAAAACGCCACGCTTTCTGCACACAGGCTAGGATACACTTGCAGAAGTCAAAACTGTTGAGTACGGATTCCATGTCTTCTACAGCAACAGCTGGCACACTACACGTACAGGGACCGTGCATGACCAATTCATGATACCGATGCTCTTTGTTTTTATTCATTTATTTTTCTTTTTTACGTGAAAGGTTGTCTTTAAGTCGAAATAATTTACCGTAAAGGCCTCTGTTACTATCATAGACTAATTTTTGATTATTTCAAGAAGGAAGATCTCATGCCTCCGACCTATAAAAAATCCATTGTCTATTTCTTGCGATTGAAGATTATGATTAAAGAACGAGTAAATTCAAATGCTAAAATATATCTTCAATTTAGACTACTACTCCTCCGCCCATTCTGGAAATAACTAACAATGACAATTAGGGGCCTGAACCATAAACTAATGACCCACTTCTGGTAAAGAAGGCTTTGTCCTTCAAACGACATGAAAATAAAGTTACGCCAACATAGAGGTCACATTGTAAATATTTCATTTTATCATTCCACCAGTATGGCCTCGCACGCGCTTTTAATAAAAAAAAATTCATCTCAAAGATGTGTCCAGCTGAACGCCATCTAAGTTATCTATCCTCTGCCTTGAAGTGAGACAGTCACGCTTCCTTTTGAGTGATTGTCGTTTTGGACAGAAAGTTGCTTCCTTTCTTATCAAGAACTTCGGTAATGGAGGCAATAGCATTAAAGACGCGGAAGCGGTAAACGAAGTCCATGCACTTATCCATAAGGAAAAATCAGGATTGTGACAAATTAAGTCAAAGTGTTCCTGGATGCCTTGTATTCTAACAGCTTTACATTGATTGCTTTACGGGATTGTGAAAAAACGGATAAGCAGCATTTCTTTAACCTACAGCAAAAAACGTTTCAACAATCTATACGCAATTTTTAGCCATTCCCATTTACACTGCGGAATGAAAGCTTTCATTGAGTATAAATCCGTGCGGTTGTGTCAGTTACGCGGAGTCGAAATTACTGCATACCAGACATAAACTAAACATCAATTTGATGGAACAAGGATGGATCGTTCGACTGTTACGGAAGGAACAATTAACACAGCTCAAAAGACACAGGTTTATGAATTCAAAATGATGTAATTTACAGAGCGAACGAACGACGAAAACCTGATAAAAAACATGATGCAAACCACTAAAACAGCTTCCTTTTTGTTTTGTATAAAAAGACAGTCAAAACTCGCTTCACCATCATTCATTCTAGACACGCAGTAGAAAACAACACAAGATTTCGAGTCAGAGAAGGTTATCTTCTAGAAATACTTAAAAGGGAAAAGGTGAGTAGGCAATGCCTAGTTCGTTCTCCAATAATCTGGAATTAAAGCTAGATGAGGTTTAGGTTGAATGAACGCATAGTCTTCTCGTTTGCTTCTCAGAGGTTTTAAAAGCGCACTCCCGAAGACGTTTTGTTCAATTGCCATTCAGTATAAGAGATGAGGTTACCAAACTTTGCTCAGTACAGATAAATTTGAACTTAAAGCTCCGAACTTTTTAAAAAACTAGCTACTTTAGTTCCTCAAATCAATTCCCCAAAGTTTTAATGAAATATTACGAGTGCCTTGTTATTTTTATCATTTTACACTCTATAGGACACTACGCTATTTTCACTGACAATTTCGTTCGTCTCCAGAAATGGAATTCTGCAAGTACTTGTTCGCTGCCCTTTTCATAGTAACTACAATGAGCTCAGTGACTTTGACAGCTCCAATGAACTACCGACCAAGTGATGCTGAAATTGTCATCCGACTTTCACTTATGCCATCAAGAGCCAATGCCGTGAAAGAGGTAGGACATCACTGAGAATATTTTTCTTACTGATTCCATTTCTATATCAAGCAGTTTTTGAAACACATGATTCAAAGTTTCTTTAAGTAAACTATCGTATTTTATCCACAGATGTTGAAGGTCTACCAATTCATAGCTTCTAACCGGGATCTAAAGGAAACGCCCTTAGCTCTTGGAGTGGCTGACACACCTGTATGTTCCTCAAATCTGGTAAGCTCTAAGAACTTCGAGGTTTCACGCTTTTTTTCCAAAATAAATCTACTTTCAGCTGGAGGTTAAACATTTTAAATGAATCAAAGTCACAATTCTAGCAATTTAACAAACTGTGTATCACGTAATCTCCAAGAATACAATGCACGCACGCACATGGGAGAGAAGACAAATGCTCATGAACCACTCACCCTTTGCTACATCGAAAGCTTATCACTACTTGTTCTATCTTACGCACACTATCTAGTTCAAATTTCAAAATAATCTATTAATTCAAGAACCCTGCCAGGAACAAATTTCTAATCCGAATAAATTTTGACGCCAACCCTATGCAGTGAACTACAAACTCTTCATAGTATTCGCCAAGGTATGATAAAATGCTTGACAGAACTTGTGCTTGTGTAAGTCAATGATCATAAAAAAACTATTTTGCTGTGTTTCTGAATTCTTGCTTCTCTTCAGCAAAAGAAAGACAACTTCTCCATTGCCTTTATCCAACTTTACAACTTCATCCATCCACTTTACCTGGCATACTCCTATGAAGAAGCTAAAGGATCTCAGCGCAACGCGTTGGCAAGTGCGCTCAAAGACACCAGTTTTCACCTGAATAATACGGTGTGGAGAGTGAGACGTGAGGTAAGTAACCTTCAACCCTACCTATTCCCCTTTGTAACGGCTTTTTATTGATTCTTTTAGCAAGTAAAATAACGTTATGTAATTCATTGGGAACATCGTGCTCTTGCAAAGACTCCATTCTATTTCAAGAGGGATTTAGTTGCTACGTCACGATAACTCTACGAAACAGGAAATCTACTGCTTTTTCTTCTTTAAGAGCAGTCAAATAATGTACATTATATTGTTGCCTTGATATTTTTTCGCCAGTATTCTGAAAAACTTATAATTAGCTATTGTTGAATCACAGATAACGAAAACTGGTTCTCAAATACCTACTGTACAAAATGTCTCAGAGGCAAGCTTGGATCATTTTACCAGAGCATATTTACAAGCAATGGTCAATAGCAAACGCGTGGTAAGAAAAAAAAAAGAATTGCATCTTAAATATTCCTTTAAACTATAAATGGTACACGCAGTATAGAAAACTGACGAAAGAAGAAAAGAAATACAAATCAGTGTTCTTAGAGGTGGCCTGCTCCGAAATTGTTGAAAGCTAAGGAAAAAAAAAGATGTCGTCGGGACCCGTTTCTCCAAAGAACCGGCAATCTAATGGGGCATAAGACATTACTTTGTGTAAGGAATTAATAGGCGAGTTCTAGATCAAAATCTGTACATTCTAATTCGATATCTCTATTGGTTGAATACTAGAATTATAAATATATCGATGTTGAATCTAAACACGACAAGCACGAGGGTAGCTTTCCAGAGGATAGACTAGCGGGACTTTCCTGCGTAATTTTTCGTACGTGCCTTACATCCATCAGTAAACTTTCATGGTATTTTTGTCCGCAAATTTCAATAGCTGCTAAAAACCAATTTTGTCGCATGTGCAGGATATCTAATTTAAAACTCCTTACCGCCAGAACAATAACCTTAAAGTATAACAAAAAAGACTCCACAGTACCATTAAATACTAAAAATGATTAATTATTTTATTCTTTCAGAGCCTAGCGATTACTGACGATGTGATGAAGACTTATAGAAACTATGTAGTTCTGTACACGCTGAAAGATGTTCTGAATGATGTGTTGACTTGCGTCTAAAGTTATTTAGTACTGATCGAATTGCTCTCTGGTAGAAGCAAACAACTAATTATCTAATCTAATCATCTAATTATTGGAAAAATCAGATATTTAAATGCCCTTCCTTAATTCCAGAAGTAAACAAAAGTAAAGAAAACGTATTGAAATTAATATTCTGTAGAAAAAGAAATTTAAAATGTTATTTAATATTCGAAAAGCATGCTTTGTTACTATAGAAAGGTACCGTTATAAAAGTCCATATTGAGACTACTATGTTACTGATGAAAATCAGTGTATATGTTAATCTTTTACAGATTTGCCAGCATGATATATACGTGTAAATGAAGGCGTGTTGTTGTTGCATTAATAATAAACGTTCTAAAAGATAGAAATCGCGTCTTAGGTCCATTTTCTTAAAAACCATGCCTGCTTGGTGCTTGCAAAGTCCCCTGTTAATTGCAGTGACAATAAAAAGAAAAATTGAATTGAAAAATGTCACCAAAGCGAAGTTACTTTTTCCTTTTTTAATTTCTACTGGCTTGACTTTTCAGCCTATAATTATTCCTTTCAGCTGTAAACTGGTGGTCAAATCTGACGCACTTCCATCACCGCTCCAGCAAACGGCTTTTTTTTTCAGTTTTACTCCAACTCTTGAAGTTAACCAAGAAGAGAACTTTATTTTTTTCTGGCGAATGACGGCCACCCTCTGGTATTTGAGAATGGGAAATTTCCCGACAAATGTTGGAATGCCTGCCTAGTTCTACTTGACTAATGGTGTTATTTGTTAGAAGCAATACGGTGACAGTAAGGCTAATTTGCGTGTGAATCGAATGATAGTCTACGAAAGGTTAAGCCGATTTTTATCCTAAAAACTTGAACCTGTCGAGAATTCAGCGACATCATCGGTTCTATTTGTTAATTCCAAAATAGATTTCGTGATATAAAGCTTCATAAAGAAAACGCCAGGTTCATTTAGTTTGCTTATTTATACAAATGGGACCGACTATTCTCGTTTGCATCAAATTAGTAGAGGACGTCTCTATGGATTATAGTGCGAAAAGCGTCTCTTAAAGGTTAAGACAGGGAAAAAATGACACAAATTTGGGATTAACAACAAAGAGTACTGCTTTGTTCTTTAAAAATCCGCCTATGTGTTTCGCCTATGTTTGTAATAGTCATAATGCTTCACATCACGCTTTTGCTAGCGTTGTAACAACATAAATTCACGATGTTACTTTTTGTGTTGTTGTTGTTATCAAGAAGGTCCAAGATCAATCAAACAGCAAATAAAAACGTCGGAGAGGTTGTTTTTCTGTCTTTGAAGTACTCCTGAATATATATCTCTGATCATGCTCTGCCCACGATCCGAAGTTATGTGGCTGTCTCGTTTGCTTTCATATACTGACTTGTTTCAAAAACCTTCCACAATGAGATACATGCGACTTCATAACGGTTTTTTTTCCTTCTAAAGAATGAATCACATTTCAATAACATTCTTTGCTGTTTTCATTCTTTGCGACTGACCATGCGTTGCATGTCTTTCAAAACGTCATGTCGACGACCCCCAAGACCACCTAACTGCAATTTATTTTAACATTTTAATTTCAACTATATCGTGTCACGCTATTATTGTGTTTTTGATGGCTACGGGAAATATCTATAGCTTTTGACTGCTATAGTGACGTTTCAGCTCTTGGTAAGCGAGTTAGTTATTCTCGTGATGCTGCCTAAAATTGCGTGACGTGGACTCCGGTGAGTAACAGGAGTCAACGCGAAAACCTATTAATAGGGTCATACTGTAACAGGAAAAATAACGCGCATTTGACGTTATAATTTGGGTGGCACTCATTAAGACAAAAAGGTTCGATTGCGAAATTCAGAAGGAGAACTGATGCAAGAGAATATTTCTATTGCGGAGAAAGGAAAAAGAGATAAAGGAAAATATTTCATTTTCATTAAAAGGCGGATTTTCTATTAGCAGCGTTTTTCAATCATTGTTTCCCTTCTCTAATTCAAAAGATAACATGATAAAATTATGGCAAGAGGAGACTGAGTCTCACTAATAAACTATCTGCTCTTTACCGAACATTGTCCTACGAAAGATTTAACAATCGAAACACTTTCTCTGGTGCGTCTTACTAACCCCTAGAGTCAAGATACCTGAGGTCATGACATGAAATGATATACATCTTTCGTCGGCTCACGCGGGACAGAATCAGGATGTCATATCACGTAAAATATCTCTCTATTGACCTTATAATCCAAAAGGCTGTCTGCGGAAAATTAATATTGGTCATTTGGGGTATTTCAAGATCGTGTCTTCATTTTAGCGTCATCCACAACGCCATAGGCTTTTGAGCAACAGAAACACGAATTGTAAACGCACACGTCGGGAACTGATGATTCATCTTTCTAGATTTAGAGAAATGACTTTGGCAAAAGCATTCAGTCGCCGGCCAACCAAACCCCTATCTGTTAAATATAACAGGTTTAGGCTATAACTTACTATACTAGACTGATCTTCCTCGGTAGATTGTGACATATGATATAATGCGTTTTATGTGGTCACTTCGGTTATTTCAGTTGTAAAGGAAAATTACCGCCCTGCTGCAACCATGAACTATTAATAGAATCTTTAAAGAAAGAGGATGTAAATGCGAGAAATTGCCGTGGATGACTTCAATAAGTAACTGAAAAAGGAAAAAGCCCGATAATTTCCGCATAACTTCCCGGACGTGTGCTAAACGTTTAAAATCTACATTAAATACCTGGTAACACCTTTCGCGGTAATGTTTTTGAAAATGAAGTCATTTTTAACAAATTAAATTACTTTACAAAACCTAATGTAAGGTAGTTACGGTTTACAGATCTGAACGCGCTACAATGCCATTAGGGAGAGAGTCGGTTTTTACAGCCCTGATTTATTGCATAACCGAAGATACATAACAGACATACATAACTTTAACTGCTGTGACATGCGGGAACTTTTGACTAATTTTCCTAGAATACAGCAGAAGCTGAGGTGCGCACGGGAAACCACCCTGAGGAAAAAAAACGGTAATAGAAATTAGAGCTTCCCCTTCGTTTTCTATAAAACGAATGATCAAGATGCATTCGAGTATCAAACTCTTCAGAAGACAACGTACTCACAAGAAACTTTAATTCTATTATATTCAACCATAATACAAAGGTAAGATATAATACCTATCGCTTCTTTCTGCTTGATCTAGGATTATTCATGAAGGATGAAAATTTTGGAAAACAAGCGAATAATTTTGTTTGTTATCTGTATTCAGGTCTTAATCACAAAAAAATAGAATTGTCTAACAATCAAAAAGAACAAATTTCAAAACGAAGATGCTACTAAAATTTATCGAAGGACTGTGAGACTAAGTTTGACATAAACTCTTGGTTAAATATAACGTTTTCACTCAATTGGTGAGAAGCAAAAAAAAAATTAAGTACTGATATGAGTAAAAAGTTCAAATCCTTCAAGACCAACGTGGTAAACCAATATAAATACCATGGCTGACGAGATTTCATGTCAAACCCGTAAGGAATTTATAACTAACGAGGACGCAAACTTAGGTCAATATCTGTTCGTTCGGAGATCGAAAATTTTCGCCACAACAAGGAGTTCGTCGACTTTGACTAATAAAATTTTAAATTTCAGTGATTTCCTTAACAGTATCTTTTTTTCTAATTTCATCTTACCAGAGATGGAATTTTACAAGGTCCTTTTGGCTGTCACATTGATGACAACTACGCTGAGCTCAGTGGCTTTTACCGCTCCATTAAGTTCACAAAGAAGCAATGCTGAATTTGTTATCAGACTCTTTCTGATGCCAACAAGAGCGAACGCTACCAAAGAGGTAGGAAATTTGAAAAAATCTACTTCTCGATTTAGTTTCTCTCTTACGTCCAATTGTTTCTTTGCAAACTAAGAATGAAGTTCATAACAATCTCATTCTTTCATTTTACAGATGTTAAACGTCTACAACTTCATAGCTTCGAACTGGATTCTCAAAGAGACACCCCTGGCTTTTGGAATGACTGACATACCCTCATGTTCTTCGAATCTGGTATGTAATATGAATAATTTTAAGGCCGATAATGATAGGTAATTAGTGCAAAGGTTGCGACTTATAGTTAACGACAATTACTAAACATCAATCTCAAAAGCTTCAAGGCCCATTATTCATTTCGAAGGGATTGTTTTTCGATATTCCCGGATCGTTTTCTATTAATGACAAGACTCTAAACATTGGCATCAAAACATAAAACATTTGACAGAACTTGTGCCTCTGCAAGTCTCTTGTACTTAAATTAATATTAACAAATTGTGTCTATCATGTTTCCTTCGCAGAAAAAGCAACACAATCTTGCGATCGCTTACATCCAACTCCACTATTTCATGAGCCCACTTTACATGGCACACTCGTATGAGAAACAAAAAGGATTTCAGCATCAGGAGTTGGCAAGAGCAATTCATGAAACCAGCTTTCACCTAAATTACACAGTGGGGAGTGTCGAAAACGAGGTATCATTCTTACGAAATTTTTGATTCGGAAATTAAGTAGAACGATTTAATATGATGATAATAGCAAAATCATTTCTAGTGTATTACATCAGTAAACTCACAATACTCTCATAAAAATAGTTTTAAGCTTTCCTCTATCCGTCTTCTTGATTCTTGGTTTTGTTGAATCACAATTTACACTCACGGTTATCAAACTGGCTAATTTTTATTTTTTTATCGGTTATTTAAACTAAAGAAGCTTAGACTGGACATTCGCTGAATTATCACATCGCACGGTTTAGCATTTTAAGGGTTATAGGAATTATTGAACAACAACAGTGACATAATGTAATAATTTACCTCAATTTTTTAGATAACGAAGATTGGATCTCGGCCACCCCAAGTTCCACATGAGTCAGAAGCAGTACTGGATCGTAAAACTCGCAAATACCTTCGGGCTCAGGTCAAAAATAATTTATTGGTACGTAAAGTTTTCTTCCTTATCACTTCGCATAGAATCCTCTGAGTTGCCTTACATGCAAAATATTCTCCAAAGAAAACCAATCCGAGCTTGCAACATGCTTGGAAAACAGAGGTAAAAAAGAAAGTCAAATCCTGATCTTCTCGCCTTCGAGATAAAGAAGACACCTTACTCAATAAAGCAATTTACACTAATCCAAAATTTGTGACGAAGCAAGATGCTCGGAGCCTGTATTCGTGCTTCAGAGTCAGTTTACTTCAATCACAATATTTCATATCCTCTTGACTACATACTATTTTTTTCACCCATTTTTGCGATGCTCTAAACCTCCGAGCTGATAATTCTCAGTCTCTTTCGAGTTAAGAATAGTTTCTCACGTTGCAGAAAAAGTGCAAGTTAGGTTTCTCTGAGTTTTGTAAAATCATAATCAGGGATATTATTTTCTTTTCACAGAGTCTTACGATCACTGATGATGTGGTGAAGAGTTACCGAAATTACGTCATCTTGTACACTCTGAAAGATGTCCTCGATAACGTGATGACTTGTCTGTAAAATGGTATCCGCTGAAAGGATGGACCACATTTCCCTCTGATGGAAGCATGGAACCTATCATTAATTACGGGACATCACAAGAAAATATTTAAATGAAATTTTATTTAAGAAGCGTAAAAAAGTAGTGCAACGATTCTTCTTTTTTGGGAAGAAAGTCCATTTATTTATATTGATATCGATGAGGAGTATTAAATGACTGTTACAATCGACCTTCAATAGAAGGAAACGACAAAGTCCATATTGAGATTAGTAGTGACTGACTGGAATCAGTGTATAAGTTAATCTGTTGCAGATTGAATAATGTTGATAAACCAATGTACGAGCGTGATGTTGTTAAATTAACAATAAAGCGTTGAAGAGAAACTGAAAATATTGTCTATTTTTGTCTACATATTCGTTTCCTGTTTATTGAATGACGAAAAAATAGTATTATTAAGCAAAACGTAGTAATCGAAGATGTGACTAAGTAAGACGTCCCTTGAGTTTGCGGGACTTTTTTTTTTTAATAAACAAGTCTATAGGATACACATCCTTTGACGGTTGAAAGCTACACTGAAACGTTTATTTACGGTTTTTGATTTACCCGTTGACCCCTAACGGGTCACTAGCATCTCATTTCTCCTAACCATATCATCTCTGAATCACACAATATGGTCACGAGAATAAAGAAAGGAAATGGTCACCATCTAAATAAGCGCTTGATTATTAAAGAAATTCTCCTTGTCAGCACCTAGGGAAATGTATAGAGAACAGTACTGAGAACATGTATACCGATCTTTGGGCATAAAGGGTTAAACTTTAGGCATTTGGATGCCTTAGACTATTTTTTCTGAGATACAGAAAGTCTTCGACCTTCTTCTTTTCTTCCGAGACACTCAAAACATCTGTTAACAGGTGAAGGCTTTCACCCTTGATCCACCATGGAGGTTGGGAATTCTCTCAGCAAAGCTAGATCTTTGCTGTTTTAAGACATCGCCTTGAAGCCATTCAACCTTCAATAGATGGTTCTTGGCTTAGATTGTAACACAACATAGTGTTGTTGAATAATGCGCGAATCATACCATCCTACATGATAGACGTTTCATATCCTCTACCGAGGGATTGATGCACTTCAAGATGACAATTTATTAACCATCCTTAGTATGACCCTGATTAAAAAATTACTCATAAAATTTACTTTCATTATTTTTTATTTTTATGCAGTTTATTTCAAATCAAGTGAAGTCTTACCACTTTTGGAAATAATTTATTTATCAACTTTCTGTATTTAGTTCCACTTTTCTGAGCATCAGTACACCAAAGGGCAATGGGTTTTTTGTTTTTTTTTGGAACTTGATCACAGACAAGTTTTCAGACACGAACGCCAGGCGGAAGTTTTAACACTATTGCTTTGTAACTGATAAGGTCAAAGCATGTAACCTGAAGCTTTCGCATTCATCTTCTGATCTCTGTTGGCTTCTTGGCAAAACACCGTTAACCATTAGACAACACAGGCTAAAAAAATTCTCTATGATAAACGTCTGGCCATAATTTCAATTGACTGAGGACATCTACCAGATATGTGCAGTTAATAATAGCCGTACGAAGCAGTTTCACCCTAACAGGTTCAGAGGACCACGAGATTCAAGTATTAGACAAACGGTCGTTTGTCAAGTTTGCAATAGACGGAAATCGATATTCTTACGGCAGGGGTCTTAGAAAGTATAATGGCTAGAACTGCATTTCCAAGCAGAGGATTCTGAAACAGTTTTTCGTGTCCGTTTGGAGGAAACCTTTGTTCAAGTGTGATAATCCACTGATGTAGTTCCGTCGACTTCCGAGAAATCTCATTTCTGATAGCCGCGCTGACACAATACCTCGCAGTGCGTTCAAGGCCGTAAAAATCATTCAGTTTCGATCATTGGAGGATTCAGAAGAGGGAAAAATCTCCAAATTAAACAGTTACAAGTAACACTGATGCAGCACGTAAAGCGTCATTACGAATCAGTCCGGAATCGATCCATTGAGCGCTCGCCCATGGTTCCGATTGTCTATAAATTCATAACATCTAATACCTCATCATCCCTCAGATTACATTTCTTCGTCAGGCATGTACGCTGTAAACACCAGTTAATCTAGGTCTTTGTTTGACTTGCAGTACTTGATATCGCTTGAATGAAACGAAATATTACGAAAGTAATACGATACGAAAACAGGAAGAAACTGACACATCACAGAAATAGGATATTACTCCTGAATTTACTAGGAACAGAGTGACTCCGACTGTATGCTAGACGATTATAACTACACTGACTCTGTTAAATATAATTGTTGGGTGCGACAAATGGTTTCGATTACAAAAAATAGGGTCAAGATTTGACCTTCCGGTAAAAATTTCAATAAACTATTTCCAGACTCAATTCTGGAGATAACTCCCTAAGGGTTTAATATCGGAAGAGCCTTCTTGGATAGAGTGTGTGACCACTCTGAGATGCCGTGTTTATTCCTCGGCAAGTTGTTATATTTCGTATCAAGCAGTAGAGACGTATCACACAAAGAACATTGGATACTTCAACAGGAACTGCCAATGATGTTTTTTCCAAAATACAAGATGATTTTCCGCGACGAGAAGGAAGATGTATTACGGGAATATCCCCGCAGGTCGACTCCCCTCAACAGAAGCAAATGTTGGATGGTTTCTCCCCGGCATTTGACAAAATAAATATGTGTCCGTCAGATATTTCAGGTAGGAGACACACACCACACTTCGCTTCAAACCATTGCATCCAGCACTGGACGAGACTGAAAGAGGTGAGTGATAGCTACTGCTTTGCCTCTGACCTGGACTAAGCAATTCATTCATGTGAATATAGTTGCGCTCTCTTAAGGAAAGCAGGTATGGTACTTTACGCAGACAAATTATTTCGCTTTAAAGAACGTCATGAAACCATTCACAGAGGATTTTCTCATCACTATATATTAGGTCAAAGCATATTAAAGCACATCGAAATGAGTTTAACGAGAGGTAACAAAGGTTAAAAAGAATTCAGCTCTTCTCGTTTGTCTTATCATGTTTGAAAGGAAATGTCAATATAACAGTTTGATGGTGTGTTTGAGTGTTTTTTTGGTATGCGTTTTATCGAATTTGTTAACCGTACCTTTTCAAATTTTAATTGACTAGATATGGAATGTTTCAAGGCCCTATACGTTACCATATTTATGGTAACTTTTCTGAGTTCAGCACCGTGGACAGCTCCGTTAAGATTGAAACCTAGTAACGCGGAAATTCTGATCAGACATCTTCTGATGCCAACACGAGCCAAAGCCATCAAGGAGGTAGGGAATCCTAAAAAATATTTTTCATTAGATGGTCGTGATATTCTTTAACTAAATTGATTCTGAGCTCTGAATGGCAATAACGTAACCAAAGAGTTGAGTAACTTTCTCTGTGTTTCATTCTACAGATGTTAACCGTCCATAAATTCATAGCTTCTAACTGGGATCTCAAGGAGACACCACTACGTTTTGGAGAGGCTCATACACAGATTTGCTCTTCGAATATGGTGATTCTAACATTCTCTAAACTTCTCCGTATTTCTTTCTATAAAAAAAAGAAATTTTTCAGCTTGAATTGATACAACACGAGTTGCGGTGAAAACGCTTTGGCACAATTTACAGTGAGGCTGTTACTTAAGTCCATGTCCTCCCCACACTATTTCTCCACCGTTCATAAATAATTAAAACACCATACTTGTTTACCGTACAAACCAATATAAAATTGGCACATGCTTTTGTAGGTCAAAACCTATTCAAATTTTGTTGTAAAAGAAAAAAAAAAAAAAAAAGCATGTTTCAACTCCTGTTGCATCGTGGTACGCTATGTTCAAATAATCCCTTGCCTGTTTCATTTTGTTGTAGCATTTAGTAACTAAGTCCCTGCAGGCACCGTAAGAACCAACTGAAGGATGTCTTTCAAACAATCTCAACGAAACGTTTTTAATCGTCCTTACACGTTTTATACCGCGGTTCTCAAATCTGTTGAGTCTTTCCATAACTACCGATGAGACATTTAAATTAAAATAGTAGTGAAGCTGGATGCTGGATAAAGACCTAAGGTTTGATTACTTTCTTCATATGTGTTCTGTCACAGAAAAAAAGTGACAGACTTTCTATCGCCCTCATCCAACTGCACAACTTTATTCGCCCATTGTACCTGGCGTACTCTTTGGAAGAATCAAAAGGATCTCAGCACAAGTCGCTAGCAAGAGCTCTCTGGGACACCAGCTCCCTGCTTAATTATACAGTTCAGAGTGTGAAAACTGAGGTAAGGTTTGCAAAGTTTGGCATTTAATTGTTTAAAACAATTTTGATTCTACATATTTCGATGGAACTATCAATCAAACATTTAGTTTCATCAACTTAAAAAACAAGTTATCTTTTAATGAACTTTAAATAATCAAAAATCTTGGTTCTCTATAGACTGTATGCCATTGAAAGAAACATTTGACAAAAAAAAGTTGAAAGTATTATGGAATAGTAATAGCCATAGCCGTTTCGTGGCTCGGTAAATATCTACTGTTAGCCATCGACACTGAGGTGAATAGTTGTTTTAGTACCTTCAACGCTATCCACTGCTTTAATTTATGTTAAATACAAAATTTATTCCACGTTTGATAATGGCAAACTCCTATTTTCTTGTTTCACAAAACTTCAGATCCGTAGAAATGAGTATCAGATGCCTACTACTCAACATTTGTCAAAGGTGCAAATGAATCACTACACCCGCGATTACCTACAAGCAATGGTCGAACAGAATCGATTGGTAAGACAAATTTTTCCGTTTCTCGTATACACCTCACAAAAGAAATCTCGAGAATCGAAATACAAGAAATGAACTCAAAAGTGCTGTTTTATTGATTTTAATACGTAACAACATCCCGTCCATGGCGGAATATTTCGGGAAGATTTGATTTTCTAAACGAAAGTCAGTGAAAGTCAATTGACTCAATTCTGTCATAACACTGCTGAGTCTACCGGAGTTTTAAAAGTTTCAGGGGTATTTTTTAACACTTAACCCTTTTACTCCAAAGATTTTGTAAAGAAATTGTTTATACTGTGCGCCGTGCATTGCTTAACTTTGGTTCTGAGAATCTATCATAGGATCAAATGATTATCTTCAAGTAGACGCTTTTCTTTTTTCTCATCACTTTTCACTTTTCATGGATTTGTACTTCCTGACGGCTTTTACTTTGATCTGAGACACTGCAAATTCAAATAAGGTTAATGTCACCCTTGACGATTTTCCATCACGAGCCTTATGAACTATTTGCGTTCTGCAGGCAAATTTAGTCGCAAGAGAAAAGAAAAGCCTCCTCCATGAAATAAAGGGAGTAATTTTTAAAGAAACTGTGTTGCTGCGTCGGTTGGAGAATGTAACATGGTAATTTACGATTATAAACTGAGTTGATAATGTAAATTGGCCTTCGTTAAGAGTTTCAAAGCAGACCAGTGTTAACCAGAGCGAAGGGCTAAAGCTCGAAACGTCAGATTTGAAAGTATTTACGGTGGTCAATTGACGTTATCAACTCAGTTGATAATACTAAATTATCCTCTTCCATGGAACTTCTTATAAAATAAGATTCCTAATATAGAGAGCGTTCTTTTTCTCATTAGAGTATAACGATCACTGAGGATGTTGTGGAAATCTATCGAAATTATGTCATCCTTTACACATTAAAAGACGTCATCCTTCACGATGTGTTGAGGTGTCTTTAACATAGTCGACGACTCACCGTCTGGTTGAAACATCGTTTTTCAAGGATACTGGAGCATGAAGAATATCGTCGAATTTTATTTAATTACGGAATTGTTGAAATATATTTTACAGTAATTAGTTATTTATGAGGTTTGACTGGTAAATACTTATAATTCTATCGGTTGTTAACACTCAAAATTACGTTTGAAAAATCCTTAAGGTGCTCTTTTTTCTTAATGGCAGCGTTTGCCCTAAATCTTGTATGATTATTTGAGTCTAGAGTCATTTGGATATTTTTACCATCTGAAATTAAACCTTTCTTCGAATACCAATTCCTTGATAACACATCTGGATAATCAGTGACCTTAGTTTCACCTTTTAATGCTTATTCCGTCAGGGATTGAACGCATAATTGCGCCTCCGTGTTTCCAGATAACATTAATGATGTTGCATGAGTTACCCTTTGTAAGGGGAATTAAGTATTTCTCTTACTGATCAGTATCAGTGTTCTTGTTAATCTGTTACAGATTTAAGTCGATGATAAGCTTCTATAAATACCTTATTGTTACGTGATAAGCCGTTTCATTGAATTAAATCGAAGATAGCGGAGTTATGGAGGTATTAAAATTAAAAACAAAAAACCTATGTTTCGTGAAAATGATTTTCCTGTCCTCCTGAACAGATCACGCTGGTGCGGTCGCAAATCAACACATGAATTTATTGCTATGACGAATCGCGGGAGGAGAGGTAAAATTCACCCCAAGCAAATTTGTCCCGATCGATGAGAAATGTTCAAGATTTATCTTGCACAATTATTCGTGCTTCAAACGGATCAACGGGAAAGGTATGCCTTCCAGCATACAACAGCCAATAAATTAGGTGAGCCGAGAGAGATTGGAAATGACTCCTTAAACCCCAGTCTATTTCAACTCTCGAGACTCTTGCTTTCCAGACGAGGAGCTTTCTCTTAGGCTTAACGAATTCTTGGCATAGTATTTAGTTCTAGTAGAACTGAGAATAAGTTGTGAATATGCTGACGGGCAAAACAAAGCGAAAGACTCTTTAAAACAGTAAAGAAGTTCAAATGATGACTATTTCGCACGTTTGACCAAAGGAAAAAAAAAAAATGTAAGGATAGCATTCTTGTCACATCACGCGCCACCAGATGTACACGTGTACAAAATTTGTACTTTGATCACTGTAGTAACTTTAACGCTACCTCCACCTTCGCGCAAATTACGCCTAGGATCTCTTGTAATGTACTTTATTTCTCATAGTCCAGTAAAACGATGTCATGTCCTTGGAAATTGGTTGTTTTTGCAAGGAAAAAACTGGATACGGGCCCCATGTCGACTTCCCACGGTATGATAGTATATGTGCCACAGATTCTTCTGTCAGGAAGTAGTGTTATGTACCGTAGCGATGGGAAGAAGACTTTAGTATGGAATTAAAAGGTATTTACTACACATACAATTGCTTAAAGTTGTATTTGATCTTGTTATAGGTATCTGTTCACTTTTTCTCACGTTTGAAAATCTTCCAGACTATGTATTGTCTGAGTCGCCACGCGTTTACTTGCTTTTGATGTAAAACAAGCCTTATTGTTGAGTTCAGTCTATTGTGCTATTGTGAAATGACATATCGCCTACAATTCTCATCACTCACACGCAACCAGATGTAAGAAAATTAAGGCATGAAATGTTAAGAATAAAAAAATTGGCTCTCCTATTGCATAATTCTACATGAGTCAAGCAATTGTACGATAACCGTTCAATCGAATAATTCCATTACATGCCCATAAACAGACAGCAGAACGGATCGTAGCATTTACTATATTTATCTCATCATCAGACCATAGAGTAATATTTAAAGACTGTTTGGAAAACTTTGTGACAAAATGCCCGGCAGCCGGGTACAGTGTTAAATGGACTAGAGGTCCAGATTTCAAGACATTCTCACTGATTTTCTACTAAAAGACGTGAAAGGTTCTTTCAAACTTCTTTAGAGTATTAGGTGTTTGTCAAGATATGCCAAGAGGTTCCAAAATTTCGGTGGGTTTTCTTACTTACGAACTTAACTAGCTGAGGTATACCATAAAATCGCTATGTTTCCGACTCAACAATGTAGTGGTTTCCACGTTGTGCACAAGAGTTGGATTTCGCCCGCATAAAGAAATCAAAGTAATTTTTGAGTCTTCCGCCATTTCGAAACAGTCATCAAAATTTTTCATTAGCTTTGCATGAGGTTCTCTTTAGTAATTCTGTGAGTATCTCAGAATAAAGGTATGCAGTCTATTTAAGAGTGCGCCTGACAATCTAATAAGTGTCGAGGGCCGAGAGCCGAGTAATTTCTTTTCAAAATTCGTCCTCTTCAACACCAAAATAATTTGTAGAAGCGCCCAGTATTTTTGAACAGATATCGAGTGCCCTGATAAGGTTTGCATGGAATGCTCTGTGGAAAATTTGGTCTATATTTGTGTCTAGCAGCTTCAATTTCAGATTGTCGAGAATATTGCAATTATGAGGTATGCCTGATTGACATGCATGAAAACAACAAGATTTTTTAAGGAAATTTCGAAAAACATTTCTGATTGCAAGGCGTATTTAGCCGCAGGGATTTTGCATGTTTTTAGTTACGCAAAACAGGAACCAAGAGTGTATTTAGGAGGCAGGAGCATATTTCTTATATAAACGAGATTCTAATGAATTATCTATTATACCAACGTACTAACAACTTGATTTATCTCCCGGGATTATCCAAGGAAAATTAATTCAAAACGCTTAACAGTAAAACGTCCTGTTCTCTCTCTCTGCTTAGTCGGTGAAGCAATTCTTCATCCAATTGTTTCCCTTAAGGTGATCCATTATTATTATTTTTTAAGTAGATCCGCACGAAAATTACAAGTTCCTCTTATTTCTGACCAATTGTTTTGAAGTGTTGGTTCAAGCCTAGTTAAAGATCCTCGCATTAGTTGAATGGAACAGCACACCTGACACCCGACGAAGGACCGGAGCCAATATCGCCTTTAGCTTGAACTTGCAGTGACTGCACATTAATAAATGCGTTCCTTGGGTAGTAAAAAGGTACGATCTTCTTTTGACCAACCAAGGGAATAAATATATGACCATAGCTCAAAAATACTTAGGAAGGTTTTCTATAAATACATGTCGCATAAGAGTTGTTTGTTTCCTACACTGTAAATTCCATGACACTCGCGACACAGTTATCAACTGGTCCGTTATTTAATTCAAAAATTGCTTTACACATGGATGATAGATTTTCAGTTCCAAACAAGATTTTACTGAAGCAGATTTTATTGGAGTCAAAAATACACATTAGCCAAAGTATTAGCTGGACCGTACATGCAATGCAAGGGCATCATGACAAAACATAAGGCATTTGCCCCCTTGCATCATGCATTCTCAAGAAAAGTAGAAGATCGAACAGATTCGGACTGTTGAGAGATGGTTTTTAAATAAGTTGGACCATGAAAGTGAGCAAGTGACTGTTTCGTTCTAAAATAAATGCGATAAGGGCACTTGCATGAATTTGAGTTATTGCAGTAATTATGCTGTATTCATTCCACGACGATTTATCACATCCCAAATACTGGACAGTAATGTCCACTGAATAAAAAATTCGTCGTTGAGTACTGGTTTCGGTAACATATCTAAATATTTTACATCTACTGCGCCAACTATTTTATTATTCACTTTGCTATGGAAACTGTCAATATAATTAAATGTTTAAAGTGAAAAACCCCTGATTCAATTAAGAAAACGGCTAAGTGCCGATTCAAAAGAAAATACAGGAAAGAAGGGATTTCTGTAAATGAGGATATGGCGGAATGCCGGAAAACACCCGAAGTTGGCACTTATTTCATCAAATATCTGTAGAGTAGAGGTTCTAAAAAAATTCTTTAAAGAGAAATTTTTCACTGAAAGACGGTATATTCTTACTAAAACTGAGATATATCTCATGAAATAAGATCCGATGTCTTCCAAGAGTACGTGAGGGAATAAAGTCCGGTCTCTCATTAGTCCACCTGTCTATTGCGTAAAGCCACATTAAGGATCTGGAATGACAAAAATAGCAAACTAAAACTAGAAGCGTCAATACTAAATCTCTCCCCAATAAAAAATCTAAAATTAAGTCAAGAATCTAGGTCTCCAAAAATTTGAGTTGGAGCTGATTTCTTATATTCTGCCTGAAGGAAACTTATGCTTCTTAAAAACATAAAGTATGGTTATAGAATTCAGAAATGATCCAAAATAATTTTTGATGACTCATCAACCTTTTTTTCTACCAAACTTATCTTGGACTTCGGCATTTAAAAGTTTGAGTCAAAGCTTATTCATGGTATACTCCGATTACAAACAATGATTGAAGAAAGTACAAAATGGCGTGTGCATAATAAGAGGCGCGCACTTCTGAGAAAATATAAAAGAAATTTGCCAATTACTCTTGGATATGAAAATTACTAAAATATAAGATATTACATTAACTAGAATATAAAAATAAACTCCAAATTAATTCCAAAATACGTGCTCAGATCGACTACCATATAGTTACATCGGTTGAAGACATGAAAACAGCGTTTCTTTTTTTAAGTTTCATAACAGGATAAAAAGACCACTATGTCTTATCTTGTTGATAACACTTTGAAAGTATCTAATGGCGTGCTTGAAGTGTAATGTAAACTTCCAAGTTTCTAAGGAGTGATTATCGAAAATGAGGACTCCCGCGTCCATTCTGTCGCAGAGAAAGCCCTCATCGGGATCGCAAAAAGAAAGCGATGCAATGTCCTTCGTTTATTTCAATTGCATGAAAAGTTACCTAGAATTCTATTAAGGTGGAGAGAAAACTTGTGTCTTTTGAAAACGCACTGGTTAAAAGAGAAAAAATTATCTCCGAGTACATATATTTTCGGGAAACTATTCAATTGTTGTGCTTATTTGCTTTGCAACTGAACGCCAACAGCCGAGCAGTGCGTCATGTGAGAAAGCACTGGCTATAGGTAAATATAGTTCTACTTTGGCTGCACGACGGATCATATTCCCAAGTCGCAAAAGCACTCATTATTTTTGCCTTGCTTTTTAACAAAGATCAGATTTGTCGATGAATCACCGAGAGAAAACTTCATGTGCATGTTGATTCCGAGGATGTTGAGGTTTCTTGTCGATTTGATTTCATGTTCATCTACGCCTTGAGCATGTAAAAGGAAGCGAAATTATACCTTTCCATCAATTTGTGTAATAAATTCGACAAATAGTGTGATTTCGTTTCTAGAACTTAGTAAGTTCTAGAGTTTTTTTGGCAGATTGAGATGCGAAATTGTAGACATGATGGGTTTTGAAAGGGGAAATACGAGGTGAAAGGATAACCTTCGTTAGATCATGATATGCCGCTTCTTCTCGTGGGTGGGGGAACGAGGTGACTTCAAATCGAGAAGAAAAAGGGAACAAAAAGCTTCAAGAATTATGATTTCAGCCACATACAGACACGATCTTTGTTCAAAAAGGAACAGAGTTCCGTTAACATGCGACCAAGAAGATGAAGTCGGCGATTATCCAAATTGATTGGACAATAAGCGGGACTTGCCTGCAAGTT